AGGATATAATAGAGGTCTATGGCTAAGCACAGCAAACCCACAGGAAAGCTGCAGGTACACTGCATTGCATCAGTGTGAAAGCAGCCCTATACAATTATGCTCAGTGTATTGTTTCACACTGACCTGACACCACTCTGGAGACCCACTAGTCGGGATGTGAGGTGGCGTGCAGTTTGGTATCACTCTGCATGGGACAGGAGCCAGCACTACAGAGGGGGCATTGGCTTATGTAGCTGGTGTTTCCTACTACAGCTCCAGCTTTAGTCCCTCTGCATTAACAAAGATGTATGTCTAGATTACCGTATTTTTTCGCTCCATAAGACGCACCTGACCATAAGACGCGCCTTGGTTTTAGAGGAAAAACAAGAAAAAAAATATTCTGATCCAATGGACTGGAGACACAGTACAGGGGATGACAGAGACTGCGGACACAGTACAGGGAATGAGAGACTGCGGACACAGTACAGGGAATGACCAGAGACTGCGGACACAGTACAGGGAATGACCAGAGACTGCGGACACAGTACAGGGGATGAGCAGAGACTGCGGACAGTACAGGAGATGACCAGAGACTGCGGACACAGTACAGGGAATGACCAGAGACTGTGGACAGTACAGGAGATGACCAGAGACTGCAGACCTTTTGGGGAGGGAGGGGGAGCTGGTACCTGAATTTGACAGGTACCCACTTCCGCAGAGTTGTCCTTCCTTCTTTCCGCGGCGGCTTCTGTGACAGCCAGGTGCCCACTGCGCATGTGCGAGAAGCGCTGCGCTTTGTGAATGGCCCGGTGCCTTTTGGGACCTGTCATGTGTCCCAGAAGATGCCGGACCATTTACAAAGCACAGCGCTTCTCGCGCATGTGCAGTGAGCACCCGGCTGTCCCAGAAGCCGCCGCGGGAAGACTGCAGCCCTGGAGCGAGGAACAGGTAAGGTCCTGCAGGAGAGAAGAGCTGAGCGGCCGGCCCGATATTCCGACATGGTGGCAGCAGAAATACCAGACCGGACGCTTTATATTCGCTCCGTAAGATGCACTGACATTTTCCTCCCTTTTTTGGGGGAAAAAAGTGCGTCTTATGGAGTGAAAAATGTTAATTTCCCCTGGAGGTAGATCAACAGTGGTCTAACGCTCAGTGTCGTCCTGGCACTTTAAACAGCATGAGTATTAAGTGAAGAGCCGACAACTCATTCTCCTGATAAAAGTATTTCATTGATAAAGGGTACAGTGTTCAAGTTAAAGCACTTAAGCATTTCAGTAAAATACGTTTTTTTGTTTTTTGTTTTTTTTTTGTTTGTTACCAAAACTCGTAAGGTGCTGTAGCCTGCACACTTGAAAAACAGACTGGCTGGATCACCAGATGAAAACAAGAAAGAAAGCTAATGCAGCCAGCACAGCTAAGCATTAGTAAGGTGCAATATAATAAATGTGTGGAATAAATACTTGTAGATACGGCAAACCACATTGTAACACTAATACTGTCAAATTGGCAGCCACATGGGAGATGTTTCCCATTAAGAGCTTTGTCATACAATTGTTGCGGTTACATACTTGGTAAGGTTGAATAAAGACACCGGTCCATCCAGTTCTACCTGGGTGTGTATGTGACTACTTTCTTTAACCACTTGCCCTCCAGAGGATTTACCTCCCTTCCTGACCAAGTCATTTTTTGCATTACGACACTGCATAAGTTTGACAGTTGTGCGGTCATGCAAAGCTGCACCCAAATGAAACTTGACATCCTTTTTTTTCCCACGAATAGAGCTTTCTTTCGGTGGTATTTGAAAGCCTGTGTGGTTTTTATTTTTTGCGCTATAAAAAAAAAGTTTTGAGAAAAAAAAAAAACAATATTTTTGTCTTTTTGCTATTAACCACTTGCCCTCTAGAGGATTTACCCCACTTAATGACCAGGCTTCTTTTTGCTACTCGGCGCTGCACTAATTCAACTGATAATTGTGCGGTCATGCTATGCTGCACCCAAACAAAATTTATGTCCTTTTTTCACACAAATAAAGCTTTCTTTTGATGGTATTTGATCACCTGTGCGCCTTTATTTTTTGTACTATAAACAAAAAAAGACCGAAAATTTGGAAGAAAAACGATATTTTTTACTTTCGGCTATAAGAAATATATCGTAAACTCAGTTAGTCATAAATTTAGGCCAAAATGTATTCTGCTACATGTTTTTGGTAAAAAAAAATCCTAATAAGTGTATATTGATTGCTTTGTGTGAAAGTTATAGCGTCTACAAACTATGGTATAGATACTGCAGTTTACGCCATTTTTTTTTTTTTTTTTTGCTATACAGCGCTGCACTAGTTTAACGGAGAATTGTGCGGTCATGCAGAACGGTACATAAATGCAATTTATGTCTTTTTTTCACACAAATAGAGCTTTCTTTTGGTGGTGTTTGATAACCTGTGCTCTTTTTATTTTTGGTGCTATAAACAAACAAAAAATATTTTGAAGAAAATAATTTTTTAAAAAAAACAATATTTTCTCATTTCGGTAATAAAAAAAATATCCAAAAAAACTAAAATTTCGTCATAAATTTAGGCCAAAATGTACTCTAAATGTTGGTTAAAAAAAATCCCAATAAATATATATTGATAGCTTTGTGTGAAAGTTATACCATCTACAAACTATAATATAGATAATGGAATTTACACAGCTTTTGCTTTCTGACTGCTTATCACATTTCTTGAGGTGCTAAAATACCAGGACAGTGCAACCACCCCCAAATGACCCCTTTTCAGAAAGTAGACACCCTAAGCTATCTGCTGAGAGGCATATTGAGTCCATTGAAGATTTATTTTTTTTCCACAAGTTTCTAGAAAATGACAAACTTTTTTTTTTTTTAACAAAAAGTTCTCATTTAAATGATTTAATTCTCGCACAAGCCATGGGTATATGTGGAATTACACCCCAAAATACATTCTGCTACTTCTACCGAGTATGAGGATACCACATGTGTGAGACGTTTTAGGAGGATAGCCACATACAGGAACCTGAAATCCAATGACCACTTTGAAAGCCTGAAGGTGCGTAACTTCCTCATTTCACTTCCTCACTACCTATCACAGTTTCGGAGGTTCCGAAATGTCAGGATAGCACCAACGCGCCCCCCCCCTCCCAAATGATCTACTTTTGAAAAGTAGACACCCCAAGGAAATTAAAATGAGGCATGATGAGTATTTTGCAGATCTCATTTTTTCTCACAAGGTTTTGAAATGTAATAAAGAAAAGGAAAAAATATTTATTTATTTTTTCTTCATTTTCCAAAAACTTGAAATACTTGCCATGCTTCTTATCAAATTCCTTGGGGTGTCTACTTTCCAAAAAGGGGTCATTTGGGGGGGTTGGTGCTATCCTGGCATTTCAGGGCCTTCGAAACTGTGATAGGTGAGGAAATAAAGCCCTTTAAAAGCCTGAAGGTGCTTATTGGGTTTTGGAGTCCTGTACTTGGCAAGACTGCCAAAAAGTAGCAGAATGTATTTTGGGAGTAATTCCACATATACCCATGGCATGTGTGAGCAGTAAATCATTTAAATGATAATTGTGTGGGGGAAAAAAAAAAGTAATTTTCCAAAAACTTGTGGTAAAAAATAAACTCTTCTATTGTTTCAACATGCCTCTCAGCAAATAGTTTGGGGTGTCTACTTTCCAAAAAGGGGTCGTTTTGGGGGGTGGCATGCCCAGCATTAGAAGTTTATGCCACATATCATTCACTCTTCTAACCACCTGAAGATCAAGCCTTTTCTGACACTTTTTGGTCACATGAAAAAAATCTGTATTTTTTGTTAGGAAATTAGTTTAAACCGACAAACATATATATTTTTTTAAAGCAGACACCCTAGTGAATAAAATGGTGGGTGCTACAATTTTTTATGTCACATAATACTCGCACAGCGATTATTTTTTTATTTTTTTCCAAATGCAAATTTAACCACTTGCCGCCCTGCCACTGTGTATATAGGTGTGCAGGGCAGCAGTGGAGCGCAAATGCACGTTTTAAAACCGACACATCCGCGGGTAGGGGGCGCGCACCGACCCGCGGGTGACACGATTCGATCCAAGAGGGATCAATCATTAGATTTCAGCCAGTGATTTCTGGCTGAAATCACATGATCGGTCCCTGTCCTGTCCTATCCTGTCCTGTGTTGACATTTACACAGGGCAGGATATGATGTCATTCTCCTCTGCCTGGACACATTCTGTTCCAGACAGAGAAGAAGACATCCAAACAGTGAGTAAAACACTACACACTGACATTTAGAACACTCTAGGTCACATTTAACCCCCTTCACTGCCCTGTCACCAGTGTCACTGATCAGTGAAGCGATTTTTACTGATCACTGTATCAGTGTCACTGGCGACTTCCGATAGTGTTAGCGCCCCTCCCAGATAGCGCCAGTTTGCCCACTAATACACCAGTAGTCCTGTCTAACCCCTTGATCCCCCCCCCCCCAGTTAACCCCTTCACTGCCCTGTCACCAGTGTCACTGATCAGTGAACCAATTTTTACTTTTTTTTTTTTTTTTTTTTTTATTTAAATATTTATTAATTTTTCAAATTATTACAAAAATTCCATAAGAAGAGACACAATACATATAAATAATCAATATATTTCTACCTTATCCCTTCTAATTACCTCTTTTCTTTCCCATCCCTCCAGACCCACCTTTTCCCCCCTTTCCCCCCTCTCTCCCTTCTGCAAGATCTCCAATCTCTCTAGGCGCAATAACTTCAAGTAACTTCCTAGTTTAGAGTTTTTCTATATTTCTCTTTCAATCCTGATTTTTCCCATTTTTCCCATCGCGAATAGTATAGTTTCAACCTATCTTCCTGAATATGAGCAGATTTTTCCATTCTGCTAATCTGGTTTACCCTATTGATCCAATCCTCCTCCGTCGGCACCTCTGTCTTCCACCAAAACTTGGTAATCAACCCTTTTGCAGCACTTAAGTAGTACCATACACCTGATTCTTTATATTTATTCACTGTTGTCTCAACATTATGTAGGAGACACATGGTGTCTAATCCTATGTAATTTCCAGTTATGTGAGGGACCGCCGAGCGGCACCACTAGCACTCCACTGGTCAGGCGTGCCCAGAGCGCGGAGTCTAAGCCCCAGGGTACTTGTTCACCAGGGCCCCTGATGGTGGGGATGGACTTGTAGTACCCCGAGACCAGGTCGCCACTACTGAGCACACCTGTCAGTGGTAGGGGTGTTCGCCAGGGGCTCCAACCAGGGAGAGCCAGATGTGAGGAGGTCGGGTGACCCCGATTGGATGGATGGATGGCTGAGCAAGTGCGAAGTCAGACAGGCCGAGTTGGTAACGTAGAGGACGGTAAGGTACAAGGGAGCAGGCAGAGAATCGTCGGGTCACACGCCAGGTCAGCAACAGTAGGTCAGATCTAATGAGGGGCATCCAGGGAGAGAGGTCAGGCAAAGCAAGGGTCTGGGCAGGAGAAATCAGCAGGTCAAGAACAATCCGGGTCAATAAACTTACAAGGCACAGGTTCAGAATCACAGGAAGCAGGTAAGACCAGAAGGCAACGAAATGACAGCTCAGGGACATTTAAATATCCCGCCCTGCGCTGCCATTGGTGCCCAGCGGGCGGCCGCGGCTTCTACTGCGCATGCGCGAACTCGAACCTAGTGCCCGTGTACAGGGCGGAGCAGTGCGCCTGCGCCGGGACCATCGCGGCAGGGATCGAGGGGATCCCTGACATATTATTTCTATTAAATTGACTATTGTCTTCCAGAAAACCTGAATTTTTGGACATTGCCACCATATGTGGAACACCGTGCCCTCTTCCCCACACCCCTCTCCAACACATTTTTGAATTCTCCCCCCTCATCCTGTGTTCAGTGCTCGGTGTAATATGCCATCGTGTCAAACATTTATAGTTAATCTCAACTTCTCTCATACTAACACTCTCGTGAACTAATCTAAATATCTTATTCCGTTGATCTTCATCTATCACCACCTCCATATCTCTTTCCCAGTTTGTTATAAAAATTAACTTTGTGTCTGTGTCTAATTCTGTGAGTATTCTATACATTTTTGTAACACCGTGTTTCCCATCTCTACGTGTTTCTAATAGCCTTTCAAACATATTCCACTCCTTTTTTAATCTCAAGGGTTTTGGGGAGAGTTCCAATGAAACATTTTAATTGGTGATATTTCCACTCATCTATTTTAATAAACATATCTCCTCTTACTCTTCTCCTCTCCTCTTCCATCAATCTCTCTAATTCGTCTTTTTTATCCCTTACTTTCTGTCTTGTTTCTATTGTTATTTTCTTCTTATGTATCTGCTCCAAATCCAGGATTTCCTTTAAGAGTCCACTAACCCTCTCTCTTCTTTCTTTTTTCTTCCTTGCTCCCATCGCAATCAAGGTTCCTCTTATATATACCTTATGACTTTCCCATACTGTAGCTGTCGATACTTCCTCTGTCTCATTCTCTTTGAAATATACCTTAATCTCTCCCTGATCTTCTGCACAATATCCTCATCCAAGAGAAGGGCCTCATTTAACCTCCATCCTAAACCTCCCGTCCACCTTTTTCCCCATCCCATTTTCATTACGACTGGGGCATGGTCCGAAAAAGTTCTTGTCTCTATTTCTATTTTAACCAGCATTTCAATGAGTTGATGATCTATTAGAATGTAATCCAGTCTCGAGTAGTATATCTCATGTGCATTAGAGAAGAAGGTATAGTCAGCTCGAAAGAGCAGGGCCCTTGATCCCCTCATGTTTTGCATTGTATTGGTATTGTTCTGTCACATGTTCTGTCCCCCTTTGTAATGTACAGCGCTGAGCGAACTATTGGCGCTTTATAAATACTGTATAATAATAATAATAGTCTCTGTCTTTCATATGCATCATTCTCCATGTGTCCACCAGTTGGTACTCGTGGATCGCCTTCTTCAAGGCTCTCAGGGACCTACCCCCTTCTCTCTGCACAAGGGAAGTTGCATCCTTTTGTGGGTCCATACAAAGATTTAAATCTCCTGCTATTATCAAACGCCCTTTTTTAAAATCTATCAATTTTTTTAGCAAACCCTTCAGAAAGATCTCAGGTTTCTTGTTGGGGCAATATATATTGGCTAGTGTACGTTCAATTCCCTGTAGTTTACCTTTCAAAAACAGGAATCTCCCTTCCGGATCAGTCCTTCTATCTTCCAACTCAAATCTCATATTCTTTGCCAATCCTATTGCCACCCCCTTTGCTCTTTTAATTGGAGAGTCAGCGTAATACCATGTAGGATAATATTTGGATTTTAGTTTCACATTTGATTCTATCTCAAAATGTGTCTCCTGCAAAAATACCACTGACGTTGCTCTGTGATGTAACTCTTTAAACAACTTAAATCTTTTCCCAGGACAGTTCAACCCATTCACATTATATGTTATAAACTGTATTTCTTCCATCCTTCTTGATTTTGTCTATCTCTCTTCTAATTCGTCTCCTCCTATTAGGCCCGAATGTCTTGCAGAATATTAGCCCCACTACCCCTCCCCCCCACCCCACCCCCATCCCCCCCCCCCCTCTTATTTTTCCCCTACCCATTTTTAGGCTTATAAACTGCCTACAAATCATTTGTGGAACTGTTTCCACAGTTGATTTAAAATATTGGGCGTAGACTCCGCCCATGGACGGCTCACCTTTCCTCCGACCTCTCTAGCTCCCCTTTCTCTATCAACTAGGCTCAGCAATAACCTTTACTTCCCCCCCTCAACCGGAGCCTCCAGAGGGACTTCCGCCTCAACAAGGGGGGCAAGGGAACAAGAGAGAGAAAAAGAAAAGCGTATTTTCTGTTTATCTCTCCCTCCCCCCCCCTCCACAACCCCAGAACCCCCCTCCCCCTGTATTTCCCCAAACCCCAGAACCCCCCCCTCCCCCCTCCCCCTCCCCCCAACCCGCTGCCAGTCCTCCTCTCCCGGATCATCCATATCTCCTTTTTCTTCTCTTCTTCCCACCCCGCTATCTCCACTCTTTGCAAATCCAGTCTATCATAAAAATCTCTCAGTTCCTCCGGGAATCTCAGGTATGCTGTAACCCCATTTTTCCAGCCAATTAGAGATGCTGAAGTACCCCATCTATATTGCACGTTCTGTTTTCTCATTTGCTCTAACAGGGGTCTCAGGGATCTCCTTCTCCATAGAGTCTCTGATGTTAAATCCGCAAAAATTTTTGAATAGTCAAATCTCCATACTTAATTAACGATCTTCCCTTGATCTTCTTCCAAATCACATTTTTGACCCCAAATTTCTGGAACTGGACAACTATATCTCTCGGTCTTTCCCTCTCAGTATCTTGTTTGAACTTTCCTATTCTGAACACTCCATCCAGTTCAATCATTTCTGTTTCAGGTCTGTCTCTTATAGAGTTTAAGATTTTTTTTAACTAGTTCATATAATGTTTCCCCTTTTGCAGACTCTGGAATTCCTCGTACCCTAAGGTTAGACCTTCTTTCTTTATTTTCTTGAATTTCCATCCTGTAGAACAATTTTTTCTGGGTTTTCTCCAAATGGGTTATTTTTTTCCTTAGATTATCTATGGTTTGGGCCTGGGTTTTAACTTTATCCTCTGTTTCTTCCATTCTCGTTAGCAGATGCCCTAAATCGTTTCGAATAGCTGTCGTTTCATGTTTTATCGTTTTCTCCAAACTTTGAAACATTTCTATCATCTCCTTCTTATTCGGAACTTGTAGATCACCATCAAGTTCTTTTTTTTTCCCCATGCCATCCGCTATTTGTTGGCTACAACTGCTGTTCATACCCAGTGATAGTCTCGGACTGTTTCCTAAGCTAGTGTCCATTTCCCCTTTAGTGCTTGCGCCTTGGGCCCTTTCTGGCGTAATGTTTCCATATGATGTAAATTTCTTTATCGTGCCTGATTGAGACCCTTTGAGCCCTGCTCCCTTAGGACCTTTATTCTTCATATCCTCTATAAGTCTTTTGTCTTCTATTTTCTCTAGGTGGGGTTGCACCTCTCCTCTATAGTTTGTGATCCAGACAGGTTTACTGAGTTTGCTTATGCTCTTATAGGGGCACGTGGGACTCTTCTCTTCTGAACCCAGGGAATCCTCCCCTCTCCTCCTTAAGCCCTTGTTCCCCAATGTCACTCAGGAGTCCAGTATACAATAGACCCCCAACAGCTCTCACTCACCCTTCTCTTCCCAGGATGATGACTCCAAGCTTGGGTGGAAGGTCTTCACAGCAGCTCTGTCCTGGGGGGGATTCCTCTGGGCTTCCAACTCTGCACCTCCTGTTTTTCTCGCTAGACTTCGTCCCAGAGATGCAGGGTGGGTCTCCTGGCGCTCCCAGGCTCCCTGACCCAGGGTCGAAGAGTCAGCTATCCGTTGGCCCCAGGCAACAGTATACCGGGGGCTACAGACAGTAGCTAGCCGGAGGTTATAGGCAGCAGTTAGCCGGGGGTTGTGGGCAACATAGAGCCGGTACCGCGAGCCGGCGTCTCCCTGTCAAATCAGGCGGCCAGCCGGCTTCCTCCTCTCCCAGAGGTCCTTCGCGTCTGGTCACACGCCCCCGCCACGTCACTCCGCCTTCCAGCCGTCCGGATCCCTCTCTCACCAAGCACCGGAGGGTCCGGCTCGTCACTGCAGCCCCCGTCCGGCTCCCATCTCCGGCTCTCCGGGCTCCACTCCACGGCCCTCCAGACTCCGGTGAGTCGGTTCCTTAGGGTCACCAGGGAGGTCGGGGAGCGGCTCCTAGCCGAGAGCTAGTCGAACCAATTTTTACTGATCACTGTATCAGTGTCGCTAGCGACTTCCGATAGTGTTAGCGCCCCTCCCAGATAGCGCCAGATTGGCCGCTAGTACACCAGTAATCCTATTTAACCCCTTAATCCCCCCCCAGTTAACCCCTTCACTGCCCTGTCACCAGTGTCACTGATCAGTGAACCAATTTTCACTGATCACTGTGTCAGTGTCACTAGCGACCTCCGATAGTGTTAGCGCCCCTCCCAGATAGCGCCAGTTTGCCCGCTAGTGCACCAGAAATCCCATTTAACCCCTTGGTCGCCCCCCAGTTAACCCCTTCACTGCCCTGTCACCAGTGTCATTGATTACAGTGAACAGATTTTTACTGATCACTGTATTGGTGTCACTGGTGACTTCCGATAGTGTTAGCGCCCCTCCTAGATAGCGCCAGTTTGCCCGCTAATGCATGGGATTTTTTTTACCAAAAACTGTAGCAGAATACATTTTGGCTTAAATGTATGACTAACTTTGAGTTTACGATATATTTTTTATAGCTGAAAGTAGAAAATATTGTTTTTTTTTTTTCAAAATTTTTGTGGTCTTTTTGTTTATAGCGCAAATAATAAATAGCGCACAGGTGATCAAATACCACCAAAAGAAAGCTCTATTTGTGTGAAAAAAAAAGGACGTAAATTTCGTTTGGGTACAGCATTGCGTGACCGTGCAATTATTATTTGAATTAGTGCAGCGCCGTATAGCAAAAAAAGGCATAAATTACAGTATCTATACCATAGTTTGTAGACACTATAACTTTCACACAAAGCAATCAATATACACTTATTGGGATTTTTTTTACCAAAAAAACACGTAGCAGAATACATTTTGGCTTAAATTTATGACTAACTTTTAGTTTACGATATATTTTTTATAGCTGAAAGTAGAAAATATTGTTTTTTTTTTCAAAAGTTTCGTGGTTTTTTTGTTTATAGCGCAAAAAATAAAAAGCGCACAGGTGATAAAATACCACCAAAAGAAAGCTCTATTTGCGTGAAAAAAAGGACATAAATTTCGTTTGGGTACAGCATTGCATGACCGCGCAATTATCATTTGAATTAGTGCAGCGCCAAACAGCAAAAAAAGGCCTGGTCATTAAGGGGGGTAAATCCTCTGGGGCTCAAGTGGTTAAAAAAAAAATACTTTTTTTTTTTGTGCTCAAAAACACAATATCATGGCCAATTATTTGGTAACATATAAAAGATGATGGTATGCCGTATAAATTGATACCAAACATGACATGATTTAAGAGAGCGCATGCCCCGTGCAATGGCTACAAACTGCATACGTTTTTAATATCCATAGGCAATGTTTTACAAGCCTTTACAAGCTCTCATTTTAGATTTACAGAGGAGGTC